GTACTTTTAATTTCTTTCAAGATCTTTTCCTTTACATTTGAAACTCGGCTGTTTGGCACAAGAGGCCTAGCTTTCAACCCATCTACAGGCAGATTTGGTTGGTGTCTTAATGCAGCAAACCATGTCACAGGCTATCATAGCAAGTATCTTTAAACAACAAATAATTTCCTTCAGTACAGTTCTATAGTCAACTAACCTTCTGGTCTTAATTTGGTTTCCTTGGTAAGTTTATCTACCAGGGAGACAATGTATCAATAGACTGATAGAAATGTCTGGTCTGCTGGCAGTTATAATTGTAAAGTAAATTAATAGATTGTTTTCAGGTGTACGTTAGTCTCCTGCAAGTTTTATTAAGTTGGCTTAACTACCCAAAGTCCTTATTACCTTCAATGAGTATACTCAAATCATAAGCTGAAAGGGCAGATCTTGGACCTTGGTAACCTCACTTGGAGACAGCCTGGGAGGCCCAACCTGGATCGCTTGTTAGCCTCTAATCAAAATCATTATAATTACCAGCCCTCAGGGAGCCACTGGATCTCAGATCTCACAGTTACCACTTACTCTTGGCATTCCTTAATAACTTAGCAAAGGTCATCAATGTCTCCTACAAAGCTCCTAATAAATCCGGAGATAGTTTTTTCACGTAAACACCTCCATTGTACAATTCTGTCCGTAAGGAAACTTTTACCTCTAAGAATCATTTTTATGAGAAGAATGGTGGAAGTATATAAAGGAGGTGTGCAGGTGAGCATCACAAGAAATTACTATAAAGAAGAAAGGAGGGCAGGGTGCTGTGGCTGACATCTGTAATCGCAACACTTTGGGATGCTAAGGCAGGCGGATCACTTGAGGCCAGGAGTTTGAGACCAGCCCAGCTAACATGGTGAAACCCTGTCTCTACTAAAAATACAAAAATCAGCCACGGTGGTGTGCACCTGTAATCCCACCTACTCGGGAGGCTGAGGCAGGAGAATCACTTGAACCTGGGAGGCAGAGGTTGCAGTGAGCCGAGATCGTGCGACTGCACTCCAGCCTGGGTGACAGAGTGAGATTCTATCTCAAAAAAAAAAAAAAAAAAAAAAGAAGAAGAAGAAGAAAGAAGGGAAGGATGAAGAATGGAAATGGGATGGGGGGAGGAAGGAATGAAGGAATGGAGGGAGGGAAGAAGTGAAAGAGAGAAGTACAAGTAGTAGTTCAAGTTTGAATTCTAGATCTACTACTTACTAGCTGTATGAACTTGGGCAAGTCACTTATACTTTCATTTTATAAGTCACAGACATCCTTCCACGTTAATAGCCATTCATATTCTTTTCAATGACTGCCTAGTATTCCAGTACAACGTAACTAATGTACCCATGGTCTTTTGCTGTGCTTTAGTGTCCCTCATCTGAAGAAATGGGGATAATGTAACTTATTTCATATCTGTGAAGGTTGGAGTTAATGTGCAAAAGTACTTAGGACGCCGGGCATGGTGGCTCATGCCTATAATCCCAGGACTTTGGAAGGCCAAGGTGGGAGGATCATCTGAAGTTGGGAGTTCGAGACCACCCTGACCAACATGGAGAAACCCCGTCTCTACTAAAAATGCAAAATTAGCCAGGCGTAGCGGCACATGCCTGTAATCCCAGCTACTAGGGAGGCTGAGGCAGGAGAATCGCTTGAACCTGGAGGCGGAGGCTGCGGTGAGCCGAGATGGCACCCTTGCACTCCTGCCCGGGCAACAATAGCAAAACTCTGTCTCAAAAGAAAAAAAAGTACTTAGGGCAATGTTTGGCACATTGCGAATAGTTTTCTATTTTATTTCTAATAACTTTTTCTAATTGATTGTTTTCGCATCTTGCTACTGAAATTGTAGAAGTCCTAAAACCAATTTTTAAAGTCAGAAAATAAAGCACAATGCCTATTGATTATGGAGATACTTATTTCCATAAACATAACTAATGAGATTATGTTTGTCAAATTTTAATGTGCATAAATGTAATTTAATCAACTGGGCATCTTGCTAAAACGCAGATTCTGATTCCAATGGTCTGGGGTGGGACTTCAGACTCTGCATTTCTAACAAGTTCTCAGGTTATGCTCATTGCTGCTTGTCTGCACATCACCCATTGAGTACTCAGGATACAGATGGTTTGACTCCAAGGGAAAAAATACATAAAGGAAAAAAGTAGATATTATCTGTAAAATGAAGTTAATACTTACCTCATAAGATTGGTGTGAAGATAAAGTGAAATGTATCTAAAACGTTAGAATAGCCATCAATGGGGAACACCCTACAATCATATTTTATTGCTTTATTGCAGGATTGCACAATAAATATATTACTCATATATGAGTATAATATGTAATATACAGAGGAGCTGTGTATTAGACATTAATTTGTCTAATGATTGTAATATGCATGTTGCATATTATGTATGACAAAATTTTATTTGTTGGCTTGCTCTTTTATGGTGTCTGTTGCCTTACAGAAATTTTTAATTTTTATACAGTCAAGTATTTCTCTTCTGGGTTCTTTTGTTTTCTTTGGAGCTTAGGAAGCTTTTCCCTGTTCCTAAATAATAAAATATTCTCCCAAATTTTTTCAAATAATTTCATTGTTTTTGTTTTGTTCTGAGATAGGGTCTCACTCTCTCATCCAGGATGGAGTACAGTGGCTGATCACAACTCACTGCATTCTCAAACTCCTGGCTCAAGGGACCTTCCAGCCTCAGTCTTTTGGGTAACTGGGACTATTGGCATGTACCACCTCCATACCCAGCTAGTTATTTTATTTTTTATTTATTTTTTAAGGGACAGGGTCTTGCCATCTTGTGCACACTTGAACTTCTGAGCTTAACCGATCCTCCTGCCTTAGCCTCCCAAAGTACTAGGATTACAGGCATAAGCAACCACACCCAGCCTGTTTTAGTCTTAATGGTTATGATGGAAGGCGGGGGAGAGTTCAAAATGTTTTTAAAAATACACCTACATGAGACTTTCCCCACTGGTTTTATGGTTTATTCAATATTCTATTATCATTGCTACAAGAAAGAATCAAAGAAACATATTACATAAAATATATGGATAAGCTAAAATGTACATAGAACAGTAGTCCTAGCCTTTTCCATATATCTTTTATTCAACCTATTTTCATATTGACACTCCAGATCAACATTCATAAACCATTTAACTATCAAACATAATTGCAAATTAATATTCTTAATTATTGCACATTGGTTCTGCCCATATGCAATCCACTTGTATAGTCCTAGTTGAGTACTAGAGAAAAAATTATCTTCATTTAGGTCTCTACTTAAAGCACATCTCATTAATAATCAAGATACATTCAAGAATTTATCTTGAAATGTTAATGTTATAGGCAACTAGGAGGATTAATTGAAAGTATTAATCTGCATATACCACCGTGGGCATTCTATCAAACCTCAGGTCCTCCCACCCTTTTCCCTACTTTATCTTTTACCATTCACACTACTATTTGCAAAGTGGTATTGTATACTTACTGTATGTCTCACCATGAGAGCTGGGGCTTTTTCCTGTTATACTACCCTCTAGCATCTAGAACAACTCAGATGTACCTCATAAGATTGGCTGAATAAATCACTGAATAGTTTCAAAAAGTTAATGTAATCAAGTCAAAACCAAAAAGTGCCCAGTATGCTAGAAGTGGTGAATCTTTACCACGTCAGCCATTGGAGTTAGGCCAGTTAACAATGTACTAAGGAACAAACTAAATAACATGTGTGTCTGACTGATCTAGGAATTCATACTACTCTAAAAAAATGAAGTATTGCTCTAAAAAGATAACTATCCAGTTTGTCTATTTTAGGCATTTAGACATAGAAGGTTTAACTTTTCTGCATTCCAGTGTGCAGTCATTGGGTGTTACAGCAGTTTCCTCATTCCTTGAACTACTGCAACATGTTCTAACATCATAGTTCCAAAAGTGGACTCCCTGACTGCTGCAAAGGTGAGCAGTTCCCTAGGTACCCCAATACTATATGTTTAGATGGGAGTAATTTCTGGAGACTCAAGCTTGAAATCACTCCTCCAAACCTTCCAATGATTTTGTAAGAAACTATGTAATTTCAAAACTGCCAATATAAATCTGCATTCCTCTTCAAATAGCTAGAGTGGTTTGTTTCCTGAAAATTTGTATATGATCAAGTTTAAAAATAATATAAACTACACAGAACTATTTCAGACTATGGGGAGGGCAAGCAAGACTAACACACAAAAACATATGTGTACACATGAGGAAAAAGATCACTAAATACACCAAAATGTTAATGTGCTCATCCCTGTTAATAGAAATATGGTAATTTAAATTTTATTTTTACTTATCTGTTTTCTCTAAACGTTTTTTGAGAATACATTAAAAGCCTTTTTAAAAATTATTTCAAATAAACAAAATCCTACAGGATAAAAATATCTAAATGTATCTTGAAATGTTAATGTTAGAGGCAGCCAGAAGGATTAATTAAAGTATTAATCTGCATATAACACCATAATATACACACAAATACGTATCATGGTCCTAACTAGGGAAGCAAGTCCCCGTGGTTGTGACTCCCGAGCAAATATTTGTCTATTCTAGTGGCACAGCTGACTGCTGTTAGAAAAAGGGCAGCTATCTTGGGAACTAAACATATAAGGTGAGAGTAGCCAGTGCTGCAGCTGTTGGCAAGCTTTTTGTTGATAATACCAGAAGTACATCCCTTAGAACTGGTCATTTTGAAAGGCATAAAATAGAATGGAAGTGCCTTCACCTATTTTGAAAGGCATAAAATAGAATGGAAGTGCCTTCACCTACCCAATAATTAAATAAAATTTTAGAAAAGACTAAATATGAAACAAGCAAGACTTCCTATAAAATGTCATTAAAAAAACTTTCCACATAGCATTTATCTATTTATGGGTTGCTCTTTATTCTTCCATTTTCTGTACCCACTAGCTTCATGACTTAGTTTTAAACCAGCAATATATGGCACCCAGACAAAGACAAGTCATACTTCTTTATTCACAGACAGAAGTAATCATGAAGTATCACAAGGGATTTGCAATCATCCAAGAAGATGCAGATAAAATAAACCATTCTTAAGCTATGGAAATTCCTATTAAGGAATTTTGTTAGATTAATATGAAAAAATCCTTATATCTATTAACATGGTCGTTTTACAAAGATATTTTTCAAATGTCATTTGATATTACTTTTGTTAACATTTTCAGTGACAATTTTGATGAGCTCTAATTTTGGATCTTTTATGGCTACTGCTTTCTGTGACTTAAGAAACCTTTGACTAACCCCCAAGTCACAAAAATAATCATCCATGTTTTCAGTTTAAAAGTTCCATATTCTTAAAATATTACATTTAGGTCTATGATTCATCTCCAAGTCATTTTTGTGAGGTAGGGGGTCATGTTCATTTTTTTCTATATGGATATTAAGCTATTCTGGTTCCGTTTGTTGAAAAGACTTTCCTTCTCTGTTGAATTGTTTTGCCACCTTTGTCGAAATCAAGTGATCATATAAATGTTGATCTGTTTTCAGGCTCTCTCTTCTATTCCATTGATTTATTTGGCAATCCTAGTGCTAGTATCACACTGTATTGATTACTAAATACAACTTACCACAATAATCCTCACATTGCTTAACAAAATTTAAGCCTCAATAGGAAAGGATATATAAATTAAGCTGAAATAAATGAATGGGATCAAGATGAGCCTTCCTTAAAAATCAATTTTTAAAAATTATATCATGGCTTTGAAAACACTCCATAATTATTACTGTATCAAGAGCAAAACATATTTACCCACAAATAACTGAGAAACTACATTTTTCATTACCTCCAACTGAAATTTGTATGAAAAATATTTCATTAGTTTTTCTATCAATTTCCCATCAGGTTTTTCTCCATTAGTTCTAAGTCATTTAATACCACAATCACTAAGCTTAAAAACAATCCTTAAAAATTCATGTGCTGAAACTGGAAGATGGGTAGATGTTCTCCCTAATAAAATATATTATGCTAAATTTATTTTACAATAAATAATGCTAAAAAGTCATGTATCAACCTCAGAAATATTCTTGATAAAGAAAAAAGTAGATTACTTCCTTTTAAAAAGAAAGTTTTATAAAGTCTTCTTTAAAGTCTGACTTGCAAAGGAAGATTAAAAGTAAGGAAATTATTACAAAGCAACTCCCAAAATCAATTTTAAAAAATCAATTGTGAGCAAATTGTATATGGCTCTTGGAAACTGCAGGCTGTACGAAATTTATTCAAATTGGCATAGAAAGATCCCCCATCACCACTACTATCTTTTTAAAAAAGCAGATATCATGAACTGTCAAACCTCCAATTTTTTAATATACAGCTTATGAGCTTGAAAAAGTATTCCATTGAGAGTAACACCAACATTCTTTAAGATTTACAATTTCTTCTTAACCTGAAATTCTGCTTTGAAGCGTAATACTCAAGACCTTCCTGAAACAATTCTCTACTACATAAACAAATAACCCCAAACACTTGAAGAAAAATTACTAAAATAAAATTGAGATGTTTATTACTTTTCTACTGACAGCAGTGAAAATCACTGCAAATTATACTTTTGTCCTTTTTAAATGATTTACATTTAAATCATACTTTTTCAAATAACTGGTATAGCAGATAAAATTCAGTTTTAAAATCCTCAAAACACTCAGATATCAAAGATAGAAATATTGATTTTTTTCCCATTAATGATGATAAGAAATAAGACATCCAGTTTCATTAAGATCTGACAATTGCAAATTTTAAGTATTTAAATTACAGATAAGGAGTATCATTTGTGCATTTTCTAGGTTCATATGGTAGTTACACATCCAGAAAACTAACAGTTCTCAGATTCAATGTCAAATAATGGAATTTGGGCAAGCACTCTTAGTATCACTTTCATTTAATATGCACTACATGCACATGATGCAGGTAGGGAAGAAGTTTATGAATCCATGCATTAAAGACAAGACAGGCTGGCACTACCGCCAAACGTGCACTGAGCCAATTAGGATGTTGCTCAAAGTTCTTTATACATAATGATTTCCATGAAAATATGTGCAGAAGCAGAAATGTGTACACATCCCAAAACATCCTCTTCATTTGGTTTCCTGAGCTTTCTTTGCGTTCTGTTTTTCTTTTGCCTAAAAATTAAAAATAGTATGTTACAAAATTTTAAAAGTCAGTTTTAGACTGTATTAAAATAAAATGTGCCTAAGAGGGTATTCTCAAGATGAAAGGTTTGAAATACATTGTTTCTGAGATTTCTAAAGCATTATGTTTTATAACTTGAGACTTATAACAAACTTTTCCTGGACAATTACATAGTTATTCTTTGCTCTAAGAAAGGATCTTGTTTGGTTTGCAGTTCTTTCCTATCTGAAGGTAAAATGAATTATTATAATTATAATAATCTAAAAATTCTATAAAGTCAAACTCATTCATGAGTATTCCAAAACAATATATGTACACATATTTGCCTATTTCCGATTCAAATGAATATAAGAAAAATCTTACATTAGTTTCTGCAAATGTGAATAAATGAGTTTAACCTAACAGTTTAAGTGAGTTTAAGAGAATGTCACTAAAGGATTATGTATCCCTGGTGTCAACAAACTTTATTTATATGACTTAAAACAATGTTCTTCATGACAATTATATAGCTCGAACACAGTACTTCTGTCTTATTCTTTAGCAAATGAAGCCAGAGCTTATAGATGTTATCAAGCTTGACCAAAGTCCCACAGCTAGTATACAGTAAGTCCTCAACACAGATCAAAGACATATGCTTTATAGCATTGCTTCTCAATGTATATACCAAAGACTTAGAGATCCTGTTAAAATGCAGACTGATTTAGTAAAATGCCTGAGGTTCTGTATTTCTAACAAACTCTCAGATGATGCCAGTTCTGCTGGTATTCAGAAGACATTTCTAAAGCAAGATTTTAGAGTACTACAACACAATATTTTCCACTGTGCCACTTCAGAAGAGTCAATAAATTTCTACATTATACAACTTTTTAAAACTTCCTTAAATAAAAAATAGAGCAATTAAAACAATTACAATCTTTTTGTGATGTATTAGGTACTATAATTATTACTTAACAGTAAGATAAAACTGAGTGTTGTGCCTTAAAATAAGAGCAAATAGTCTGCATGCCATATTAAACATTATAAAATTAATTGCCAACATCAATGTTTTTAGTTAACAAACATAATTTGTAATTTGGTATGTGTATCGCATCTCAAAGTTTTCTTTCCTCAAATAATAAACATAATTTGGTTTTAGGCATAATTTAAAATAAAAGTATGTGCTTCTTTCCTTATTGATCTCGGAGTATACTTAGTAGAATACTGAGAAGGATTAACAAGAAATACATTTACTGGTTTCTGATATAAACTTTACAAAGTAATTAAATGAGTAAACATATAAGGCAGAGTGTTCATACATTTATTAAAAAGTTATCACCATTAATTGAGCATTATGGTGAGCACTAATTTATATACTTTACAGATATGATCTCATTTAATCATCAAGAATGTGACGTAGGTATGATTCCCAGTTTACAGATGAGAAAGAGGTTATAAGAAAGTAAGTGCCTAAAAGCACTAGCTAGTAAGTAACATATATAAGATTTAAATTCAAAGCCTGTACTTTGGTCTGCTTTTGTTAAAAAAAACATATTTACAAATAGCATGGAAAAATATATACTGTTAAAAATACTTTCCTTCTATACAGTGTACCAATGATATTAAAAAGTACTGACTTAAATCAGATAATTCTGCATTAATAGATATTAATGTAGATACTGTTGTGATTAGCCTTAACTATTCTTCTACCTTATTTCTATTAAGAAATAGAAAAAGATCTGAAGCTTACTTATTAGCAATCGAATCATAAAGTCATAGTAAAATGTGGACAAAATTCAATATTGTGAAGTTTCTGTGGATTCCCCCATAGCAATGGAATTTATGATTTTATATTATGTTAAGTTATTGATAGTCAAAAACTTAAGATAATCATTCATAATTACATAATGTGTAGACAAAAATTTTTTAATCATAAATATACTCGAATAAATGGAAGTCTCACAAATATAATCTTAAATTACATAATTTTATTTTATATTTTAAGAAAGAGATTTGGTACACAATACAAGAAGTTTTACAACTATATATTTTTGGATTACCTCCTATGCAGTTTTTTAATGTGGTATATATTCAATGAATTCATTAGTTAAAAAGTCTCATATAACAAAAACATTTATAGGTCCAAGTTCATTACAGCCATGCCAAGGGAGAATCACTTTTTATTTATTATGTTGCAAATAAAAAGATTTTAGCTCAAATACTTTTATGTCATCATAGACTATAGGCAACTGCCTCAGCTATTCAAAAATCTGATCCTGTAGAATCTCGGCATATAGTAGCACTGCATGGGGTAGCCACATCTTTCCTGTTTGTTTCCTTCTATTCCTTCTCACACCTTGTTCTTTTATCCTATTTTCCCTGAAAACAAAACATAGTAAGATCCACTATTCCAATTTATCTATTTCTGAATTCTATAGGTAATTTTTCTTAGAAGTATTACTATTAAGTAACCATCACTGGTCAAGATTTTATATAATTATAAAAGCTAATATTTAGCAGTATTTTAACATATTTTATTTTTAAATTTGCATTTATCTGCAGAAAATGATATTTTAATATGACAAAATAAGATGAACAAAAATATATTCTTGCAAAGGAAACTGATATATTGCTACAGATTAAGTATTCCATTCCAACCACGTACTTAGAACTTCATGGAAGTGAAATTTTAAGTGGCTATAAAGTTATTTAGCAGCTACCTTGTGCTTGCTGGGGATCTTCAGCCTGACTTTATCCTGGCATTCATCAAAATAATACTATTTAGCACAGTACCATACTTGTTCATTTATTCCTTTCCTAAATCGTATCATGAGTTGCTTAAGAGAAAATAACACATCTCAGTTATACATACATCCCTAGACCTTAACAGAGTGCCTGGAATATCCTTGCAGTTAGATAAATGTTTGATGAACAATTTAAAACATTTCAACAATTCCAATTAAATGAGTCTAAGCTCCTTCAGAACCTAGGAGAATAATAGTTATTGCATGCATACAAGAAACAAATCTATCTCAATATTGCTTCTGGAATATTAATAAAAGAACAACTTAGAGAAATAAGCCACTAGAAGGTCAATAACTACTTTCCCTAAGAAAATGAAGGCAAACACAACAGAGTTGGTGTTCCACTAACATCAGGTATTCATATGCTGCCACCTTGTGTCCAAAAAATGTGAAGTAAGGAATAAAGATTCTAATGTTAAGCTGACAAGCTGTTGTTCTCTAACTATGCTCTCAAAAAAAATCTGGGGATATAGTGTAATTAAAAATCAAACAACAGTGGTCCTTTTACTTACTAATTTGCACACACAAAAAATTCCGTTCACAGATCAATTTTAATGCAAAATTTATACATTTAAAATTTGTCTAAGGGTCCTGGTCCCTAGTAACATTTATCTAACTTAAAATCTGATGCATCACATATTTAGCACATTGTATAGTTATTTTAGTATTTTTAACAGAAAAATATTTGATAGGGTTAATAACATATCTAGGTATTCTTGTTAATCAAGCAATTTTGAGAACCACAGGGCCCTGTATTAATCTAAAACTTGGAATACAACCTGAGATGCACGAACAGAAAAAAAACTACAGTGAAAAAGAGATTTAGCAGTCTTCTGCAATAATTTTTACATGTAATGCTAAAACTTGGGTCACATGTTTCAATCAATAAGGTATATACACAAAAAACTTATTAGCTCACATCTCATATTATTTAGAATGTATAACACAAAACAGCTTGGTTGAAATGTATCTTTGCTTTGTAAATTTAAAAATTAATAAGGAAAATATACCTACCATGTATTCTCGTCTTTAAGTTAATGGTCCAAAATTTTATTTGCCTAGTAGTGTCTTCTCAAAGTGTTTCTCAAACTGTGGTACACAGACCAGTTGCATTAGAATCACTTGGGGAACTTATTAAAGAATCCTTCCCCTATATCAGAATATCTGGGGAGGGGCCAGGTAACACGTATTTTAAAGAATATCCACTGATGTTCACTTTCAGAAACACTGATTGACAGTATGAACTTAAAAACAATTTAACTGCATTTTACTTACTCAACAAATATTTTATTGTTACTTATGAAAAAAATAATAAAAATCAGATTTTTTCACTAACTTATGCTAGTTTTCCCTCAGTGGAACGGATGCTAGATTAGAAATAAGAAAGCCTGTTTTGTAGTACCGGCTATTTTTTTTTTAATCCAACAATGTCCATTCTACTTTTAAATTCTGTTACATCAACTCAAATTTTTGCTAAATAGGAAAATATCTATTATTTCAAGTATTAGCATTAAAAATCTATTTTTGCTTAAAGAAAGAATAGTGTTTTAAATTTTATTTTAATATAGTACAACCTGAGGTCTTGACACTAAGAATCTGGGAGGCTAAAGCAGTGGGGTAATTCTTTATTTTTGTTTTACAGTCTCAGTTGAACTAATTCTTATAGAATATAAAACAAGAATCAAAAGCAAAAGAATAAAAATGTACAAGCTTCCAAAAATTTTACCTCTAGTCATGCAAAAAAAAAAAAAAAAAAACATTTTACATTTTTGGAGAATCTAAACCTAATTTAAGTATCTATGGATAAAATACTTACCTTTTCTACTAGTGGTATTAACTGCTGGTGTTCTGCTAAAGTCTTTAACAATTCCATAATGAAAGGCAGATAATTATGCTTCCTTCTGATATTCTCAATCTGAAAATAAAACAACATCAATCCACACTAACTACATTTCTGCTAATTTTGGTATTTTACTCTTTGCATCCAACTCAAAATAGAAATGGTATAAAATATCCACTCTCATAAGAAAATAATTTTAGAAATAATGAGACTCCATTCCCACTGAGAATAAAGATTAACACAATAAAACACGTGGAGGGAATTTCTTGGGCGGGGCTTCCTGCCCCTGACTTAGCAAATAATAGAGGCCTTTAAAAGTCCAATCTAAGATTACTTATGAAAATGTCATTTATAAAAACAACTAAAGGTCTACATGCTAAACTAACATTTGCTACTTCACCTAATCAGGCAAAGTCTAATGAGACCAGCTTTATTTTGTGATCAAGCACAATCTTTCCTTCAGATTATTTTTTATCGAAAGGAGGTACATTGCAGGAAAAAATTTATACTTCAGTGGAAAACTATGGACTGTCTAGATAACATCCTCTCAAGTTATGTGATTCTAGGCTCTCACTGCCACTGAGCTGTTATATATTCTGCCTGGTAGAAGTATAATTGATTGCCCTTCTTCCATAGAAAGTTTCCATCTCTTATAAATTTATTTCAACTTCATATAAATTTGAGCTTCTCTGACTACTTCTTTAACTAGAGTTCCTTCAGTTAATTAATTAAATTAAAGCTTAACACGTTTGTTTTATAGCAGTATGAGAATCATTTGATCTTTTTTTAAACAAAGCATTCCCAAATAATAAAGCAGGAAACTTTATGGAAGTTATGGAAACTCTGTGTTGTATTTTGGGCGGATATTAAAAGTTAATTACATAATAACTACATAAGTATATATAAAGATGGGTAATTTACTTTTTTAATATCATGTGAAATGGAAAATAATTGGTAAAGCTATTATTTCTTCCTTTCCTATCTCCACAAACTTGGCCCTCCCTCTTTCCTGCCTGGAATGCCCTAGAGCCTGCCTGCCTGCCCTTACCACTTTCACCTGAAGAAATTCTACTAGTTTAAGGCCCATTCATTTCATTTAGCAATCATCTGCTGTCTGATAAGTATGAGGCAAAGTATCTGTTGTCTGTTAGGTATGATGCAAAACACTTTACTGACACTCTGGGGAGCAACAAAAAGGATAGTTCTTGCCTTACACTGAGGTTCAAATGAAAAACAATCCTTTTACTACCATAACACATGACAAATGACATATACATTCCACATCCAAAGTTAACACAAAATTCAAACTTTCCTCCACTCTTTCCGCTTTTCTGAAAAAAGGTTACCAGACGGATTGCAAGTGAAAGACTATACATTATTAAAAATAACTTTGCCTTTATATTTGATTCTGAATTATATAAATGCTTGTCATGATTAAATAAAATTAAATCAGAATTTTTAACTCTAAAAAATCTGAAAGCAAAATCAACAGGAAAAAGTTTTAAGTGAATTTAAAATACAGTGATTTGATTATATATTCAAAATAGGATATACCCTAAGGAACAAGAAAAACAAGAAAAAAACTATTCACTTGTTATTATACTATTGGCTATTATTCTGAACCTTTTTATATAGATGCATATACATATATACACAAATACGTTATATACATACTACATGTATATGGCATAAAACAAATAAGTAATTACATTAATTTTGTTAGGAACCCAAGATTTTCAACTTAATAGAAGAAATGCAAATTATTAACTTCCTTATGCACAAAGCCCTTTAATCCTAAATTTGAGTATTAATATGAATACATGATGTATTTCCTCTTCAAAAATAAAATATGAAACAAACAAAAGCGTATTTGCAGTGCTAAAAAGGCCTAGAAACAATGATCAATCAGCAGCACTGAGCCCGAGTGCCCAGATAGTGGTTTCTAAACACCATTTTGCACCAAGGGAACAAAGGGCTTATTTATGAAACGGCTGATTCTAAGCTTAAGCAAGAAATGTACAAGAAAAGTCTAAGGCAGGCATGGTAGCTCACACCTGTAATCCGAACACTCTGGGAGGCCATGGTAGGCAGATCGCTTGAGGTCAGGAGTTCGAAACCAGCCTGGACAACATGGTGAAACCCTGTCTCTACTAAAAATACAAAAATTAGCTGGGCATAGAGGCAGGCACCTGTAATCCCAGCTACTCGGGAGGCTGAGGCAGGAGAACTGCTTTAACCCAGGAGGCAGAGGTTGCAGTGAGCCAAGATAGTGCCCTGCACTACAGCCTGAGCAACAGAGCAAGACTCTGTCTCAAAAAAGAAAAAAAAAAAAAAAGGGTCTGAAACATTTTATATCAGAAAGCAAGGAAGCTGGCTGGGCATAGTGGCTCACACCTGTAATTCCACCACTTTGGGAAGCCAAGGCAGGAGGATCATTTGAGGCCAGGAGTTTGAGACCAGCCTGGCTGACATAGTGAAATCCTGTCTCTACTAAAAATACAAAAATTAGCCAGGCGTGGTGGCACAGGCCTGTAACCCCAGCAACTCAGGAGGTTGAGGCAGCAGAACAGCTAACCCGGAAGGCAGAGGTTGCAGTCAGCCAAATTCACCTTACTACACTCCAGC